TTGAAGCTGCAGTTTTGGTCTACCCATGAGAGTCTTCAGGAATACATAGAGCGTGATGCTTAGCATTTCGAGCATTACGGAGGCTTCAAAGACCTTTATTTTTTAAATCGATCCTCCTTTGGGCCACAACTTAATAATAAAATGAATTCTATAAAAATTAGTGTGAAAGAAATAAAAATTAAAGGATTTCAGTGTAAAATTTTCTTTTGGCCTAATTTTAGGCTAGGAATAAGATAGCGATATCGGGTTTTCGTGATCTTGCTTGCATTTTCATAAATAAAAATCATACCAATGTATTTACTTTTTATTGAGAAAGTCAAGCATTTCTGTCGGAATATCGAAAAAAGCCCCCTAGCGCCTACATATGAAACGAACAAACTTTGAATATTATAAAAATTTGTAGCCAAGAATAGCTCTTTTGAACTAGCCCAAGTTTGTTAAAATCGGCTCAACCGCACCACCTGTTTTTTAGAAATACAGCAAAAATTGTCAAACAAGGAAGGTTTAGATCATTCTCGATTTCAAAGATTAAGTATTTTTTTGTAAAAAAGATTTCTCTTGGTCGTTTTAGTAAGTATTTTTGCTGCAAGCCTCTACAATGGGTAGGTTCCCCGATACAGGACCTCGCAATTCTTAGTTGGTTATCCTGTACAGTTGAGGCTAGCGATGCCAATCATTTGAGTACCGACTTTGGAGTTGGGATAAACAAGACACCGCAGAAGTAGTAGGAGAGAGCCATCAAAACCACTAAGCTGGCGGTAAAACTGATAAGAAGACATCTGTTCCAAACCGCATCAAAGAGTATGGTTAGAATAGACGTTGGTATTGCGAAAAATGACATTCGGAAGTGGTAACAGATTCTTCGACAAACAGAATTATGTATTGAATTTCGTACAGTGAAAGACGGGGCGTAACATATTCTTTTTGTCTAAAATCACTCGGATGCGTACGGGACAACAAAAATAATGTGTTTATATTTTTTTACCGAGTATTAAGTTACTGACAAAAAAATGTGAAAAATAGCTAAACGAACGCTTTAAAAGTGAAGAACGTTTACTTTGTAGTGCTACACGTCATTTAATTCTACGTTCAAAAGTTGTAGTTGAAAATCATTAGATTTAAAAAAAGTAAATCCCAAAAACTCAAACTACCTAAACCTCATTACAGTCATCTTCCCTGTTTTATCCAAATTATTTGGAAATGTCATGCTTTCTCACTTTAATACTCATTTAACTATCATTAATCGACTTCCAGATCAGCAGTCTGGATTTAAGGAGAGATAAATAGATCGATGACATCATCACAGGTTTGATAGAGGTTTATGCTACACTTTTAATGCTTCTTGATTTTTCTAAAGGTTTCGATACAATATTCCATGAGCACTTATTATCAAAATTGAACTATTTAGGACTTTCTGAGAAGACGTCAAGTTTCATTTGGCGACAAACTTCATCACTTGAGCTAATCAAATCTGGCGTACCACAATGTTTCTCTTTTTATTCACATCAGACATCTCAAATTTGATCACAGTTGTTGAAAATTGTAAAATACGCCTACGCCGACGATACCCAAAATATATATCATTGCACGCATATTATCATGAAGCTACCACTTTTACAAACAAAGATCTAGAAGTAATCTTTAATTGTGCAAAGGAAAATGCTCTGAAAAACCCCGAAAGATTTTAGTCTCCTTAAAAACAAAATCGAGCTTTTTTAAGGAAAACATGCATAGTTGTATCAACCAGTCACACTTGAATTCTTCGACCGTGTAACTAAACTGCTATTTAGCATTAAGGCCAACAAAAACATATTGTCTATGTTTAAAAAATATATGAAAGACCAGTTCTTTCCAAATGTCTTCATTGTATGCCATCGTATTAACCCTGCCTAGACTAGAACCAAACGTTTGCAGACAATCCAAAATTATAGTTGTCGTTTCATTAGTAATCTAGCAAGATATGATCACACATCAAGCCATATCATTGCCATGAACTGGTAAGAACCTGTTCAAACATTTACTGTTTACAATTGTACATAAAACAATGCTCAACAAGAAACCTCCATCCTTGTACAGAATGTTAATTCCTCATTATAAATCCACGCCTATAGAATTATTCGTTTTCAAGAAATATTGATTATGTCTCAACACAAGATTTCTATATTCGCAAGACATTTCACATTTGATGCAATCTCTTTATACAATTCTTTACCAAACGACTTGAAAAATATGTCTCTGAAGAAGTATAAACTACATTTGAAGTTGCATCTCCTGAATGTGTAATTGCAATGGTTTCTAGTATTGATCTTTTACATTGTTTCATTTCAACATTTTTTGGTGAACATGAATATAAATTTCCAATGTCACACAAGGGTTTAGTGGAAGAACAGCCGAGGTGGCGAAACCCGACCGCGAGCGAAAATTGTCAATCGTCATTCAAGTTTTGATTCCCATAGTCCAGGAAGTATTTTCGCATGTACCATGACAAATATTCTGATTCGTTTTTTTTTTTGCTAACAATACTAACCAAAAGCTGGGCGGCCGCCTATACGAGGGATGTCTTTTAAGTTTTGCATATAGAAACATAGTAGGCCGCGTCAGTACTGAATCTTAACCTCACTCTTTAGTAAACTTAAATTCAAAGTTTCACAACAATACGTGCAGTGTTCTCACTACAGTGAATTTTAAGTGTCACCAAGTCATTAGAAAAATGGAACTCAACCGAGAACATTTTCGCGCCATAATTCATTACAACTTTCGCAACAAGAATGCCTTGCTGAGTTACTGTCTGTTTTCGGCAACGAAGCGCCACATCAGTCGACAATTTCCCGTTGGTATGAGAATTCAAACGTGGACGGGTGAGTCTTAGCGACGATCCCAGGGTGGTGCACCAAAACGGCAGTCACCCAGGAAAAACTTCGATGCTGTGCGCAAAGTCATCATTGAAGATAGATATGTGACATATCACGAGATTGTAGATCTCAAAGACCTCAATTCAAAAAAATTTCATGAAGAATTAGGAGTAAGAAAATTAATTTATCGTTGGATACCCCACCTGTTGACTGAAGAGCAGAAAGCAGCCAGGGTTAATTGGTGGTCAAAAAACGCTTGACCGTTTCAATTCCGGAAACTCAAAAAATGTGTACAGCATTGAAAGAGGTGATGATTCGTGGATCTACTGTTATGAACCAGAAAATAAACGACAGTCGGCTGTTTGCGTGTTCCAAGGTGAAGAAAAGCCAACAAAAGTCATCCGGTCTCGAAAGTGTTTAGAAAAAATCGTCGCTACATTCGTGTCAAAAGCGGGTCATTTTGAACAATTCCTCTTAATGAGCAAAGAACTGTTACTGCGGATTGGTATACCACCATTCGTTTGCCAAAAGTCATCACCGAGCTTCGAAAAATCAACCCCGAAAGAAGAATCATCCTCCACCTAGACAATGCAAGCGCGCACACAGCCCAAAAAACAAGGCAGTATTTAACGGAAGAAGACGTGGAATTATTGGAGTATCCTCCATATAGTCCCGATCTAAGTCCTATCGATTTATTTACTTCCCCGAAAATTAAAAGCAGACTGCGTGGTCAAAGGTTCCAGTCACCAGAAGAAGCAGTTGACGCATTCAAAATTGCCGTTTCGGATCTGCCAGCAAACGAGTGGAATAAGTGTTTCGAAAATTGGTTCGAGCGCATGCAGATGTGTATTAATCTTCGTGGAGAATACTTCGAAAAACAATAAAGTCATTTAAAACTACCTACCGTGTTGTTTTATTTCCATATGCAAAACTTAAAACACAGCCCTGACTACGCCACTGGATCTAGCTTTTTTTTTCACAAAGAAGTAGCACAGTTATGCGGAAGCCTCAACTCTCTATCTTTATTAGTGAGTGAGATACTCCGCAATATCATCGAAAAAGGGTCACCCTGTACAGAGATCACGTTGCTCGACTTGGCTAAATCGGAGAATTTTCAATGGAGTCGATTAATTTGTTCACAATAATCATTAGCATAGAGAATCGCAAAATACGACTGGTTTTTGTCAGTCTTTATGAGCATTTGTCTGACACTGAGACACTGACATTTTTTTCAGCAAAAGAAAGAAGAAAAAAGAGATTAAATTCGAAATTAGCTTTGGTTTAATCATCATTCAATCAACCATTTATCAAGTACCGGCTAAAAATATCTAGACCAACATCGAAGCAATAAATACTTGATAGACTATTAAAATTAAAAACAGACTGCGTGGTCAAAGGTTCGAGTCACCAGAAGAAGCAGTTGACGCATTCAAAAATGCCGTTTTGGATCTGCCAGCAAACGAGTGGAATAAGTGCTTCGAAAATTGGTTCGAGCGCATGCAGATGTGTATTAATCTTCGTGGAGAATACTTCGAAAAAACAATAAAGTCATTTAAAACTACCTACCGTGTTATTTTATTTCCATATGCAAAACTTAAAAGACATCCCTCGTATATTGCATTTCTCTCGCGTAACACAGAATATATATTAAGCGCCCGAAAGGCAAAGGTTTAACAATAACCAGTCCCCTGGAATGCTTTGGAATTTCATTGTTTGACGTTTAAAGACTATTTGAGTACTTTGGCAACATTAAAATTTTTGTTCTTTCATATTTTATCACGGGGTCAGAAATCATGTCGCACCTTTTCTAATATGAAATCGCTAATAACTCAAAAAATATAAACTTCAAAAAAAGTTCATTAGAACTTTTTTTTTGTCCAAAACGTACCATTATACATAAAAAATTGTTTGGAGCGAAAAAAACAATTTTTTAAATTGAAAAAATTATTCAAAAAATCCTTGATGCAGCATGTGGATTCGTTGAAAGGGAATCTTTTTGGATAAGGTTATGCAAAACTGATTCAGAATGTTCAAATACTTCCTGGAAAAACAACACATGACGCGAGTGGGCATGCACTACACTGCGGTTACTATTTACACTTGGCTACGATGAATTATGTGACCAGAGGTCCGCTTATGTGATTTATCTGGTTTATGGACTTTCAACGTTTCCAGGAAGGTTCAAAAATCTTTGCCAGCCAAAAGCTTTGGTATGCAAAACAGTATACAACATTGTGTAGGTAAAAATTCGTTACTGTTGGTCTAGTCTGTTTTGAACACAGAGCTTAAAAAACCTGCGATAACTAAGTAGTCGACGTACACCTTATCTATGACCTTATGATATTAAATAATTTTAATATTCAATGACATAATAAACAAAGTCTTATATATATATAAAAGGTTACAAAGTGTAAACGCTCATATTTAGTGAGAAGGTGATCTCTAAACTAATCAACATGAAACTGTACGTTGTGCTTTTGTGCATTGCTGTTGTTTACGGTAAGAGATTTTTTTTTTGAAAAAGTATCCATCAGATTATAATATTCTGAACTAGCCTTTGACCAAGCTTTTCACATTGATTTTAGCCGAAGAAAAAGAATCTTCGTCAGAAGAACTTGATCTTGACTTCCTGGAGAAGTTTTTTTCATTCAAGGGCAATAAACATATGAAAGATGCTCGTGATATTTTCAATAAGACCCAAGAGAAATGCCCAAACCTAAAAACAGACGCCGAGGTAAGTCCAGATCCGACTTTAATCATTTTGCTTTCTCCGTTATACAAGACGGGCACCCATCATTCGTTTATTTCAGGATGTTTTGAAAAAAGTTGGAGAATGTGTTGTGAAAATAGAAATGGGATCTAAGACAATCTGTCAAGTAATCAAGGAAAAAATTCCAAAATGTTCCAAACCAATTATAGATCTCATAACGCCTTGCGTCGAAGAACAACATCAGTATCTGGTACGTCTCACATTCAAGATGGTCCAAGCGTTGATGGATCAGGCCTGCAACTCAACTGTTGAGGAATTATTAGGTTGGTTTTATATCGGGTTTTCCAATAGGGACTTGACAACTTTGATCTTTCACTGTGAACACACCGTTAAATCAACTACCGAACTGTCAATGTCAAAATATTCAGTAAAGAAAACGTTTTCATTACGAACGAACAACGCTTACAAATAATTAAAGTTTACTACCGAAATTTCGAATCGGTGACTGCGTTAACGATAACTTTTGGTCGTAATTCTCGTCTCAGCAGACAAGTAATTCATAGTCTAGTAAAAAATTGAGTCCACATATTCGGTGCTGGATGTTCCCGTGCCAGTCAGGCAACGGGTTGGTCGAAGTACCGAGAATATTGCTGCCGTTCCACTTTCCGTCGCAAACGAACAGAACACGTCGCGAATTTTGCGAAGAAATCTTGGCCTGCACTCTTATAAGATCAAGTTAACTCAAAAACTAAAGCCGTTCGATCATATGAACTGACGTCGGTTCTCGATTTGGTCTCTAGAAATGTTGCAAGAAAATTATCACTTTCATCTCAAAATCATCTTCTGATGAGGCGCATTTTTGGCTAAACGGCTTCGTCAACAATCAGAATATGCGTTACTCGTCAGATGAAAACCTTGATGCGCTTCAAGAAACACCACTTCATCCACAAAAAATATCTGTATGGAGTGGTTTTCATACCGGTGGTGTCGTTGGGTAAAAAATATCTGTATGGAGTGGTTTTCATACCGGTGGTGTCATTGGGCAGTTTTTTTCGTTGATGAAAATGACCGTCACGTTACCGTCAACGGAGATCGCTACAGAAACATGTTGCAACGTTATTTTTTTGGTCAATTGGATGGGCTAGACATTAATTATATGTGGTCTTAATAAGACAGTGCTAAAAGCCACACAGGGGGTGAAACAATCGACATATTGAAATCAAAACTCGGTGAACGTGCTATATCGAGAAATGGTCGCGTCGAATGGCCGCCTAGATCGTGTGATTTAACACCTCTACACTTTTTTGTGGGGCTAGATTAAATCATTGGTCTACGCCAACAACCCTGCGTCGTTAGAGGAGCTCAGAGCCAATATTGAACGAGAGATAGGGGCCGTTTCTGCCGAAATGTGTGGCCGAGTCATTCAAAATTGGGTTCAACGAATCGATCGCTGCGAACGTTCCCGAGATCGATTCCATACATAAATGTTTTGAGTATGCTTCAATCCAATAATGAAATTTCGAATGGTTTGCGTTTAAAAAGAAAGTTGTCAAGTCCTTAATAGAGAACCATTTTTACGAGTAGTAATAATTAGCTACAGTAGCACCGGGTGGGCCAATAATAAATGACTCCAGCTATATCTCGGCAACCGCTTAACCTAAATCGGTTAAAAGACCTTATTATCAAAGTGGCCAAGAAAATTGCTCAAAATTTAGTTTCCTAAAATGGTCGCATTCTTTTACAAAAATTCATAAGTAACATACTGATTAAATAGCCCCATCGTGTTGACCGCCTAATTATCAAACTTTTTTACTTATGTCATTTTTTCATATTTCGGTTGGCTTAGGATGGATGAAGGGTTGAATGTCATTTTAGAAAAAGTCACATAACATCTTTTTGGCTATTTAAGGATCACCTGCGCTCCTAATAAAGCTCAATCATGCCAGATTAGTTCAGTTTGTGGCTGCCACATGGAGCGTTGTGGATGTATAAGCGTCTTTTCTGATGTTCCCAAAAATTCCAAAGACAAGGATATGATTTTGCCATATTTTTCAGAAAGTGCATAACAAAGCCTATAAACTGGTTGAAACTGCAGACCAATATCTTTATTTGTTATGGAGATATATCAAGCAGAAGCTTAAATTACAATTTACAAGTGCTGCTGGATAAAAAGAACGATTTATGCCATGAACAGTTGTGCAAAATGTCGTGATTTTAAGATATTTTACTATAACTTTCATTTTTACAATTTTTCATAACAGCTAGAATATTCTTTCCTCAATTGTACTTCATTTTTAGCTCAGTTCGATTTGCAATATGAACAATTCATAAATTACCGTGTTTTATACCTATTTGTCTTATTTAGATTCGCTAAGGGTGTGAATTATGAGATAAGGAGAAGCAAAAGGATAAACTTTTCTAATAAATTTTTTTCTTAAAAGATGTATGCGGTTCTAAAAAGAGCCTATTTGGTTTTACTGAGATTTCGAGTACTTCCAGGCAAGTTATTAATGTCTGGTCACGTGTTTGAACCGCTTTCATTGAACATTCGACGTTTGCACTAATTTATTTCAGTTTGTTCTTTTATTTCTGTCCTAGAGTGTCATGATGTATGCTAGATACTAGATTGCATTAATACGCTCTTTTAAGCGACATAGCTGCTATAATATTACAAGGGATGTAATACCTCATCTCATAATTCGCACCCTTACTGGATGTGGATATGACAAAAGGTGAGATAACTTCTGATTACAAAAACAACTGAGATAAAATATGAGGTATAGTTGAAGAAGGAATGTTTTTTTGTTTATCAGGGGATACGCCCCTAGCGGTTATGAAAAAGCGATAAAATAAATTTCAAATCAAAATACCTTAAAATATTGGTACATTTTACACAACTATTCAAAGCATAAAACCTTCCTCTTATACAGCAGTGCTTGAAAATTGTAGTTTAAGCATATTTCTTAATACATTATGTTTAAAACAAATAAATATATGGATATGCAGTTATTACCATTTTGTAGCACTTCCAATGCACTTTCCGATTAATACAAAAAAGCATGTCGTAGTATTTTAAATTTTCGAATAAGATACATATACGCGGAGAGCCATGTAGCGGACAAAAACTGAACTAATCTTACGATTTTTATGAAATGACCTTCAACCCTTCCCTCACCCTAACCTAACCAAAATTTGAAAAATGACGACCAAAAAAGTTGAAAATCGGAAGTTGGTCAGTCAACAGGACTCCGCCTGGTGGCCCTTTCAGGGGTGCCCCAAGGATCAAACTTGGGTCGTCTCCTGTTTCTACTATTTATCAGTGATCTCTGTGATGAACTTAAATGTGGTACCTTGCTGTTTGCTGACGACTTGAAAGAATTTTGTCAAAATGACAACATTATTAATCTACAAACTCAGGTCGATAACGTTCAAAGACGCAGTATGGATAGGCTTCAATTAAATGTGAGTAACTGCAAAATTGTAACATATACACGTGAGCAGAATAAGACTGTATATAATTTCACTTTAAGTTATGCAATTCTTGATCGATGTGGTACTATTTGCGACTTGGGAGTAACATTCGATTGTAGACTGAGTTTTGATTACCACACATCTCAAATGATTTCTGATGCAAGCAGGTCTTTTTTGTATGTGTTATTTAAGATCAAAAATAATGAGTTCTTACTACCAATGCTACATAAACACTAGTACCTAGTCTTTAAAGCTGATGGATTTTATCCAAAGCATGGATCTGACTACCGAGTTAAATTAAGGCGGCTCCGACGCAGTGTCAAGCCATTTACAAGGGTTCAGCTGCTTCAAAACTGACACTCCATTTATCAATATTTTTGAATTAAATTCAGACAGTATGTTGAGAAGATAATTGCCCAGGGTCCTATAGGAGCACTTTTTGAAATTTTGTTTTTGCATAAGTTTTATGATGGGTTGAAGTACGCACTTGTTCTGGTCAAAAAAGAACCTAGTGAAAAAAATGAAAAAGTAGCTCTATAGCACCCTGTGGCGTTTCGTTTTCAGCACTCTGTGAAAATTTCATCCAAAAATATCAAAAATTAAAGCGTCAATTTCGAAGCGCGCAAACCTCTACAAATCCTATTTTGGACGAATTTTGTCTACTGTTTCGTGCTGTCAAAACAAGCGTAGACTAAGAAAGGACGTATTCAGATAATTTGGTGGCCCTATTTCATATAATATCGCGTAGATAAGTCGTTCTGCAAATAGGTACTCATAATCGCGATCGCTGATACTCCTCGATTTGAAAGCCGTTTTACTTCCCACGTCATTGGCTAGGAAGTGAAACACTTTCTATTACTAAGAAGCTTCTGATCCCAGTGATTACAGGAAATTTAAGTATCGAAAATCCGACGAATAATGTGCTCACGATTTCAAAAAATCAGTACCTGCTCTATAGGTTTGTCACCAACAGCCAACAGATCTGCAACTACCGACAGTAGGGAAGAATAAATTCGGATATCACTCCAGTCAAGTATAGGGGAATTTAGCGTGGAACTTTAAAATTATCGATATGTCAAAGAAATATGTTTTTGAGAACGATCATTTGGTAGATTTTATACCTGCATTTTCATTTGAATTTCATAACCCGTGAAATGTACCCATTTCGCCGTTACCTTTTGTGTTCTGCAGTTTGTGATGGTTTTCTGGATATAAGCAGGCCATAATTGCCTAGGGTGCTATCAGAGCTTTTTACAAAATTTTCTCTTTGCGCAAGAATTATGGTGGATTGAAATGCTCACTATTTGTGCTCAACTTCTTGATATTTTAAAACGATCCTAGTGGATAAAATCGAAAAAGTGGATCGCTGGCACACTGTGGACTTTGTTTTTAGCACGCTGCAAGAGTTTTATTTGGAAATAATAAAAGTAAGCTGTGAAGTGCAAATCGGTTTTGGGGCGAAATTCATCTACTGCTTCGTCCTGCCAGTCCAAGCGACGCGACTGTGCGTTAGGACTAAGAAAAAATGAAATCAAATAATTTTATATCTTTCCTTAAATAAATTTCAGAACTAAAATTCTAATTCGTTCATTCATGTCAATAAACACAATTATGTTTACAAGGGTCGTGTGGTAGATGGTAACAATTGAACGAGGGTCATAAAAATATCTTATGCCGTCAAAATAAGAGGAAACAGTTAGGTAGTTTTTGCAAAGCAATAAACAGGTAGGCTTTACCTGGATTAAGTACATGTCTTGACTACTGTAATAGGTAGATGGAGGTGATGCTGCCACAAATGGATGTGTGCGATCAATAAACAAACCACAAAAATCTGATTTCAATAATTATTAAACAAATTTCAGAGCTTTTTAACCCTTGCGTAATCGACGTTGAGGAAGAAGAGGAAAATAAGTTTGAAAGCTGCAAGAGAATTAACGAAAAGATGAAGGACGACCTTATTCCAACCAAGGAAGAGATGTGCAAGTAAGTATTTTCAACATTTTTTTACCATACATAAAATGCTTTCCTCTTTCCTTATTTTTTGAACGGGTTAACGTAAAAATAACCGTCAAAATTGTGAGTAAGTAAGTGATAGCTCAATGTGAAGTTCTTTATCAATATACTATAGGGTGCGTCATCTATTACTTTTTTTCTATTTGAAAAATCAACACGCTTTTTACGAGGTGAAATCGATTTTTTTATTTATAAATGAAGGTTGGTTTATGCCATTTATGTATGAAAAATAACATCAGTCATGTGACCACCGCGGCTTCTTTTACAGGCCAACATCCGAACATCAAAATTTTCAATTACTTTTCCCAGAATAATCGGGTCTATGGCCGCAATTTCAGTCCGTATTTG